TATTTGTGTGAAAAAGGATAAATTAACTTACAACATAGAAGGCCAAAATTAGCACAAATCTCAAGAGTGTGCGCAGAAAGCTTTGTACTCAAATTAAACACATGGCGAGGGCAGGGGGTGGGGGCAGGTGGGGAGAGATACACACTGCTGTAAAGTCTTGCTTTAAATATATTCTAGTTTTTAAATGCTTTTAATTATCTTATGTAGAAGTCACCTTGCACCAGAGGTTTAGAGGGTGATCCATAAATTAATTGTAGTAATAACCACTGCAATAAATGCGCACCACTGGAAATATACAAACATAATGGGAAAATGGCAGAAATTCCCACGCTGTATTCAGAGAAACATGACCTGCCCCACGATCAGGGAAGAGCCAGCCGCAATGCTCACATACCATGCAGACACAGAGGGAACCAATCAGTGCAGGCCAAGCCAGAGGCGTGTTCATGACATCACCATGCCCCCAAACAAAAGGAACATATACAATCAAGCACTGGCCAGAAGCTCAGCCAAGGAAGCCCTGTGACAAGGGACTCAGCTACACTTGTCAATTATATCATTATAACTGTGTTATAAACGTGTGACACCAGATAGCGTTGTAGAGCAGCAAACCATCACCAATTGGATTTTTTCATTGAGGGCTTTGATAGCATTTTTTTCTATAGCATTTTTTTAAAAAATCAGTGTAGCTCCAGCCAAAGTCTGCTCCAGTGCCTACACACTCATCAGAATACTGATTCAAATTCATGCAGGAAAAAGTTTTCACGGCCAACAGATATTGTTCACAGAAATGCCTATGTAAGGTTTCTATAGTTCTGTTTTCATTTTGTTTTTATCTTAAACAGGAGACTTGTGGTTGTCTCCCTGTCTTTGGCCACATTCACACCATACTTTTAAATCACTATACCACTTTTAAAAATCATGGCTTTCCCCAAAGAATTCTGGGAGCTGTAGAATGGTAAGGATGCTGAAAGTTATAAGAGACCCCTATTCCTCCCCATGGAGCTACAGTTCACAGAGCTCCCTGGATTGATTGTTAAAACCACTCTTAGAATTTTGGTTCAACAGGAAAAACCCCTGTCTGATCACAACTGTATGGTAGTTCCATAAAACTGGGACCAAAGCACTGAACACATGGCTCCAGGTGGATACAAGTCATGCTTCTGAGCTCTGGAGGACGACTAACAGTGACTCCCCCAAAGTCCTCAGTGACTGAGCAGGAATATAAGGGATCACATGGTCCCCGAGTCATCCTGGACCCTGAGTTGCTAAAGACCTTATACCCTGCAAGCTTTTGAGCACTGGAGCTATGTGCTGGCAATAGTCTGTACCCATCAATAGTCTAGCAGCAGTGTTTTGCAGGTCTCTGGACCAGAACCAGAGGTAGCCCACATACAGCATGTTGCAATAATTGAGTCTTGAGGTCACTAATGCATGAATCACCATGGCCAGACTATTTGTGTCCAAGAATGGCAGAAGCTGGCGTAACAGCCATAGCTTCTATCTTTTTACTATAACTCTTACCATCCAATGGCTGTTGGGAGTTGTGTCGGAAGGGCACCATGTTGTCAAAGGCTAATCTAAAGGATCTCTGGGTCGATCTCCCTTGGAAGACAGAAGAAGAAGAAGAATATTACAATCTCACGATCGTTTTGGCCCTGCCACCTTTAGTGGACTTTTCTGGTCATCAGTGAGTCTTCCTGCTAGTTGTGGTTCTTGCCATTTCAATAGCTGACACCAGACCTGAATTCTAACATGTTGAGAAGTTTTCTTTCTATAGCTTAGAACTATTAACGTTTTGAAAGAAGTTTCAATATAATTTTGGTAAATGATGCCATCTGGAGTGCTCGTAATTAGCTTGCCAATGAAATTCATTACATATACTTTTTAAAAAGCCTATTGCCCTGGTGATATAAATAAGAGACCTTTGAATAATAAGGGATGTGATGTGCAGAAATATGCACTTTTCCCATCTGAAGTTCATATAATTAGGAGGTGAAATTTTATTTTTTATGTCAATCACAGAGCCACAGTCTTTTTAAATCTGTTAAGATTGTGCCAGTCTTCACAGCTGCAGGCCAGGAAACTAATTTTGGAGATATGCCTAGGCAACCATGTCCAATGTGTATTGCTGGACATATTTTAATACTATTTATGACAGAAGGTAATTTATATGTTACAAAATGATGCAGTGTATTTGCACTAAACTTTTCTGTGTCATTATGGTCCAATGCCTAGGAAAAGCAAATGATCAGAGTACTTTTTTAAAATAAAACTTGAAGCTCATAGCCCATAGATGCTTTCTCATCAATTTTATCAGTACAAACCTGAGAAAATGTAATGACAGAGCACCTAGTACCTGCCTTTTCACAAAACCCAGTTTTAATCCGTTTAAGGTTGCATTCTTTGTGTGGCAGCACACTAGGTATCAAAAATTGGCTGAAGCAGCAGTTTGCAGAGTCTGGCCTTGAAATGATTAGGGCTTTAAAAGTCCTATGTCTTGGACCAGGCTACTTGAAATAAGTCATTCTTTCTATTCCTGTTCGGGCTTTTATATCTTCATTGGAGGCTGTTCTCTAGACTCCCTAGCGTGGTACAAAATTTTGGTTGTGATGCCTTTTAGGTGCAAGTTGTATACCTTTTAATAGCCATTTAACAGTATTTTGGGATCTTGTACTAAAGTTGCTCCTGTGGGGTTGTGTTTCTGCATAATTTTTTGGCTTGTATTCCATATTACTGGACTGCCTGAGTCGAACACAAGCCAAAAAAATATGCAGCAACACAAACACCACAGGAGCAACTTAAGTACAAAATGCCAAAATACCGTTAAATCTTGAGTTGTATCTGGAACTCCCTAAACTCACTTAGTGGACTTGGGTGTCTCCTACCCACAAGTAAACATTAAATGTCCCTCACATGAGGAGTAGGGGTAGGAGTTTGGATTTGATATCCCGCTTTATCACTACCCTAAGGAGTCTCAAAGCGGCTAACCATCTCCTTTCCCTTCCTCCCCCACAACAAACACTCTGTGAGGTGAGTGAGGCTGAGAGTCTTCAGAGAAGTGCGACTAGCCCAAGGTCACCCAGCAGTTGCATGTGGAGGAGCGGGGAATCGAACCTGGTTCACCAGATTACGAGTCTACTGCTCTTAACCACTACACCACACTGGCTAACACTACACCACATGATAATTCCTAGATGTACTTGCCACTTGACAGTCTTAATTCACTGTGTAGGGACTTCTTTGCCTGCAAATTTCATCAACTTCTGTGAAAAGGGAAAAAGAGTTACAACTATTTTTCATTTCCCCATTATAACCATTTGAGTGGGTGAGGGACAGAGCTCTGCATTCAACTCATCTGATTCAGATCTAAATAACAAGTTGAAACAGAATGATACAGAACAGAACCAAAACAGATTGGGTTGCTTCCTAATACTGCAAATAAAGATATAGCTTCAAGACTGATGGCAAGTTCTGCTTCTGCACATGAGTTTGGCAAACCGCTCTGGGCTGAAGCATTGCTTCCTCATCCACCCTAGAATGTTCAGTTCACATTGAGTTCATGAAACATCGTACCCTGTTCTTAATGCATGGTTGACCACATCTACGGAATGCGATTGTTATGTTCTTTTAAGTTCTGCAATATCAATCACTAGTAATAGTTTAATAAGGATGTTTTTCATACCTGTCTAAACATGTGTTCCCTTTCCCAACCTTTAATCTATTGATGATTAATGCCCTTGCATTGTATTTGTGTTAACCAATCAGCAACAAGCACATATGTGGCAATGCTGTAATATTCAATAAAAGGGACTCCCCGAGACGTGCTCGGAAGATGCCTCCCATATGACACTTGTCACTCGTCTGTCGTTTATTTCAACCCAACACAAGACAAATCTTGCCACTGATGAACACCCCTATTAAATGCCATGAATTATCTTGCAAAACTGTATTCAGCTGGTGGTTGAAACTGCATGCCTAAGAGCTTGGATGGTTCGCTACAAGATCTCAGTGGAGGGTCGCATAATGCATAAGTGAATAATCAAAACAGAGTGCAACGTTTTCAAAGTGAGCTCAGACCACACAGATGAAAGAGAACGGTTCATATACATCAGTACTAAAATCTGGACCATGATGTTAATGTTCAAATGGAACTGTTTAAACATAATACAGTAGACCTTCTTGCTAATATTTTAGCAGCAGATTTAAGAGGAACATGCTTGAGCACCTGCTCCTTAGATCAATCTGATATCAAACAAGAAAATTAACAGAATGTGGTAGAAGGCCAGTTATACTGTCTATGTGGCATATGGGTCATTTCCTGGGTGATATATATTGGAAAGATCAGATTGGTGCAGGTGATGCTTGTTAATGAGTGGGATACTTCTTTTAAAAAAATGTTTTTATTAACCAATTTCCACATAACAATTTGTCAATCCTCGTAATCAATTTCATTATCCCCCCCCTTTATCTCCCCCAACCCTCCCTCTCCCATCCACCCACCAAGGACTTCCCTCAGCTCCCCTCCCTGATTTTTTTTACATATCTTGTTTTCTGCATGTTATAAAATTGTACATATCCTTGCTTTGTCTATCATACGTTCAACTAATAAATTTGTGAATGTTTATTCAAAACCTGCCAAAGAGTCCACTTCATTTTGTTGTCTTTTTAGATAGTTTGTAAAAAGTTCCCATTTTTCCTTGAAGTCACAGTTGTCCTTTTCACACAGTTTATATGTCAATTTGGCCAGTTCTGCATAACTCATCATTTTTTCTTGCCACTGTTCTTTCGTTGGGATTTCCTCATTCTTCCATCCTTGTGCTAACAAGACTCTTGCCGCAGTTGTAGCACACACAAATAAGTTCTTTATTTTTCTTGGCAGATCTTGTCCTACAATCCCTAACAAAAATGCTTCTGGTTTTTTTAATGAGTGGGATACTTCTAAATACACAAAATTTTAAAAAATACCCAGAATAAACTGTACTTTTCTTTTTATCAAGTGGAAACCTCAGTCAGTTGAGCACGAGACTCTTAATCTCAGGACTGTGGGTTCAAGCCCCACATTGGGCAAAAGATCCCTGTGTTGCAGGAGGTTGGACTAGATGATTCTTGTGGCCCCTTCCAACTTTGCAACTCTATGTGACATGTTATTACAGAGTTACAAGAATGAGGTATGACATTCCTTTTCACCCTGGATGAAAGTTTCTTTTCTCCTTCACCTCCCTTTTTAAATGTTACAGTTAAAACAAAAAATTAAAAAACTTATGCACTTAGGGCTTATATTACCATCTGTTTGTAGAATTATTGCTATTTTTAAAACAGAGCCATCTTTGGTGTGAAACCATCTATTGCAGGATATATCTTTGTAAGAACTAGATATTTAGCATTTGCTCATGCTTAAGGGCACATTTAACATCTCAAGAGTTTCTGACAAACAAAAAAGTAGATCATTAATATCAAAGCGTAAGTGGAATACTTAAGAACATCAGAATTAGGCTAATGGCCCATCTAAGTCCAGCAACTTGTTCTTACAGTGGGCAACCATATGCCTTTGGGAAACTCACAAGCACAAGAGCAACGCTCCCCTCCTACAGCTTCCAACAATTGGTATTTATTGTTGCAGAATATAAGGCTCAGTGAAACGGTTCTGGACATAGATATATACAGCTTGTAGGATTGGGCAGATACAGATACATACAAGAACAAAGTATCACCTTTGCTCTAAATAAGTTCAGCAGTTCAAGATGCAATGCTGGACAAGTAACACCAACAGATTGACGACTCACAGACTAACTAACTGAGCTGATGTACATTAATCACAGATATAGTCAGGGCAGTGGGCCGCTACTATAGCAACGGGCTTGCCTAACCTTGCACCTGCAAGTAGCTTATCCATGGGGTAATTTACGCTCAAAAAGGAAATTAACCCATTCTCATGTCCAGATAAAAAAAGTAAAGGACCCCTGACAGTTAAGTCCAATCACAGACGACTCTGGGGTTGCGGCACTCATCTTGCTTTACAGGCCAAGGGAGCCGGTGTTTGTCTGCAGACAGTTTTCCAGGTCATGTGGCCAGCATGACTAAGCCGCTTCTGGTGCAATGGAACACCGAAACCAGAGCAGCTCACAGAAACGCTGTTTACCTTCCCGCTGGAGTGGTTCCTATTTATCTACTTGCACTTTTGGGCATGCTTTTGAACTGCTAGGTTGGCAGGAGCTGGGACCGAGCAATGGGAGCTCACCCCGTCGTGGGGATTCGAACCGCCGACCTTCTGATTGGCAAGCCCAAGAGGCTCAGTGGTTTAGACCACAGCGCCACCCGCATCCTGCCATATTAATACATGGTCTGCCACATACCTCATTTACTGATCAGCCAAATAGCAAGAAGAAGGGAGAAGAGCTAAGCAGCACAAGGGATTGTAGAGAGATGGAAGTTTAGAAATTTCCCTCCCACTCCCATGTTTCTGATTGAACCACCCACACAGTTATTAAGGAAAAAGCTCGACAGCAGCATGGGGCTAATCATCATGGGGAAAGAAGGCTGGGAGAGAAAAACTGTGAAGCACCCAGTACAATTTTTTTAGAACAAGAGGTATGGGAACTCACCATGAACGCCTCCCTTGTTCTCTCTATAATGGCAATGGCACCCAGCTGAAAGGTGCCAGAACCATATCTGTCAACTTACAGATTTGAAAATAAGGGACCAGCAGCCTCGAAAATAAGGATCAGCAGCCAAAATAAGGGATCAACAATTACTTTGATAAAATACATATTTTGTTGCATGCAAATGGCTTTAGATACCTATTAGGTCCCTAAATTATCATATAGCATATATTCAGCACACAAAAAAGCAACAATTTGTTGTTGACAAAAGACAGCTGGACATAGAAAGGGCCCCATTACCTTCAGTATCTTATTTAAGGGACATCATCAATAAGGGACAGCAGCGGGACATGGTGCTGGGATAAGGGACTGTCCCGCCAAATAAGGGACGCTTGACAGTTATGGCCAGAACTGAGTTCCTGTGAGTTCCAAATGAAAAAAGCCTCTGATACAGGTCACAGCATATATGCATAGTTCAAAGCATGGTTGAAGAATATGGATTAACAGAACAGCAGGGCTACAACGTCATCTGCAGCCAATGGTCTGACTTGGTATAAATTAGCTTCTTGTGTATCTTAATATATCTCCTCTTTATTTTCTAAAACAATAAGCAGCAATCCGGTTCAAACTATTAATTCTTCTGGAGTTTAATCAGAATATATAGGAATGAAATAACCCTTGATCTTTTCCCCGCGAGGATAATTTACATACACTTTCATTTCAGAACAATACATGATTAGACAATTCTGCTTCATAGCATTAAATTGACTGTCTTCCTGTCTTTTCTCAAATGTGAAAGGTTTTTTTGACTCTTTCCATAGCTAGGTCCTGGGTTTACTCAGGAAGTAATCTAAGATCTTGAAATTTGGGAAGGCATGGTAGCCTGAATTTAGAAAGTAGCATGTGAATGTGGTGTTTGTGTGTGCATCTATTACATTATTTCATAATTTCTTATGCACTATGAACCTCTAGCAGTGTTCGGGATGAAACTCTAACAGATGCTTCCTAAAAGGCAAATGTAGAAACAGGTAGGACATACCGTACTTTATAAGAAAAAAAATCCAAGTCCTCATCTGTTTCAGACATGTCCAATGTGGGGGGTGGGGGTAGGGATGTATTCAAGGTAAAACATTTTCTGATGTGGTTTTGCAGTTACCCTACAGTCAAAAATTGAAAGTAGGGTTGTAATGTAACAAAACAAATTAGGCCTTTAATACTGAAAACTAATTGAGTATTAACAATTTAGTTGTTGGATTTTTACCTTCTCTGTTCCTTTTCTTTCCCTTTTACTTGTATCTGCAGCAATAGCAGCAGCTGATCTGATTTTGACAACTATCTTCAGACAGTAATAATAATCATAATTAATAATAAATTCATACCATGACCATCTGGCTGGGTTTCCACACCTGCTCTGGGCGGCTCCCAACAGAATATTAAAAGCCTGATAAAACGTCAAACATTAAAAACTTCCCTAAACAGAGTTGCCTTCAGTTGTCTTCTAAAAGTCAGATTGTTGTTTATTTCCTTGACATCTGATGGTAGGGCATACCACAGGGTAGGCGCCACCACCGAGAAGGCCCTCTGCCTGGTTCCATGTAACCTCACTTCTTGCAGTGAGAAAACTACCAGAAGGCCCTTGGAGCTGGACCTCAGTGTCCTGGCTGGATGATGGGGATGAAGATGCTCCTTCAGGTATACTGGGCTGAAGCCATTTAGTGTGAGAAACTACTGACTACTTTGCCATGTGGTGAGTCCCATAACTGCAGCCTTTCAGAGAAGAACTTTCCAAATCTAGCTTGGCTCCATGCACCCAGACTGGCCATTGGTTCCTCCAGGGCAAGAAGGAGTATAAAAGATTTCTTTTTTCCAGCTGAGACTTGCTTGAAGAACAAAATCTATCTGAATTCCAGTGTGCCTTGCATTTCTTAACAAAATTACCAGAACAATACAACTTCCTATACTAATGAGTACCACTTGCACAATTGTAATCTTACAATTCTGACTTCTGTGACTGGCTAGCTCACCACATTATTTGAACAGACCAACACAGTGGATGAATTCTCTGTTGTTAACAATGTACTCCAAAACTCTGGATGACCCTACTCAGCTGTTTCATGGAGCTGTTAAACAGCATTGGGTATAAAACTGAATCCTGAGGAACCCATATCCAAATAGGACTGGAACCACCTTGGAGCCTTACCTCCCACTCCCAACTCATACAGCTGCTCCAGAGGAATACCATGGGTAATGGTATCAAAAGCCACTGAAAGGTCAAGAAGAATCAAGAGGGACACAATTCCCCTGTCTGTCTTCTGACAGAGGTCATCATACAAGGTGACCAAGGCAGTTTCTCTGCCAAAAACAGGCCTAAACCCTGATTGAAATGGATCTAGAAAATCTGTTTCCTCCAAGAGAACCTGACTCTGGTCCATGACCACCTGCTCAACATTGCCCAAGAAGAGAGGATTGGCATCTGGCCAGTAATTACTTAGATTTTCCAAATCCAGGCTGGGTTTCTTGAGAAGGGATTTTGCCACTGGCTTATTAAAGCAGGCTGGGATCACCCACTCTCACAAGGAAGCATTAATCACATCCCTGATCCAGTCAGCTGTTCCAACTCTACTTTTTATCAGCCAAGAGGGGCAAGGCTCCAGAGTGCAAGTGGTTGCCCTGACCAATCCAAGCACCTGGTCCAAATCTTCAAGCCTTCTAACGGAAACTCATCCAACACAACAAGACTAGACAGTGCCCCAGGCACCCCCTGAGATTCATACTTCCTGAACTTAAGATACTACTTGAGTTGTCACAGCAGCTAAAGTGGACTTATTTCTGTCCTCATCACTCCAAATGTATCAACTGGTCTGCCGGTGACCTCTTAACTGGCCAAATATTTGCATTTGGGAACCAATGATCTCATTGGGAAAGCACCAAGACAAAGAAAGATATCAACATCAGAGAAAGGTCAAATAGCAACATTGTAGCTTCATGGGTATTTGCCTGTTAATCAGCCCATTTTTTTCCGGGGGGTGGGTGGGAATCAAGTGGCCTAGGTTCTCTGCACTCCTCTACTATGGACTTAGAATTGAACACCATCACAGTCAAATGTGGTTGTATCAATAAGCTCTTGACTCTTTTAAAAAATAGAGCAATCAACTTTGCCTTTTTTATCTGAAAGCTCTTCTTTTCTGATTAGCGTATTCATTTCTAGCTTTTCCATTAAAATTAATTAATTTTGCACTAATTAGTTTGGATTTTAAGAAGGTGCATATTTGTTTTTCTGTGGTTTCCCTTCTACATTCTTTTTAGAAAAGCCTTTATCACACCTGTTAGTCTTGATAAGTAATCCTTAAAGCTCCATGAACTATTATGCAGGCTACCACCATTCTAGTACTTAAATATCTAGATGGCAGCTTCAAGTAATTCATCATGTTTTCTTAGCAATCACATTGATCTCACACGTCATTTAGGGCT